ATATGGTGACTTGGCTAAGAATTAGACAAGTGTACTAATTTGTGCACATGTCTTATTTCAGGAAGTTCCTTGTGTTCATATTATGAAGTGCATGAGGTTATCTATAACTTCTCTGTCCAGCTGAGTCCTGGTTCCAGTATCCTTAGATCAGGTAATGGTCAGCCTCATGGCCATGTGTAAAGGCTTCAGATTGTCAGCACACACCCTTTAGGAACCCACTTGGCCCCTCAGGTGCCGTCAGAGAAATGCAGATTTTGTGAGAGTTCATTGAAATTCCATCTCACCCCAGTCAAAATGGCTGTCATTGAGAAAATAAGTAACACATGCTGGTGAGGATGTGTGGGAGAAAAACCCTTATACACTACTGGTGAGACGGTATACTCGTGCAGCTACTGTATAAACCAGTAATTATGTAAACCAGTATAAGATTTCTCAAAAAAACAAAAACAAACAAACAAAAAACCTGAAAATAGAGCTGAGTATTTAAACACTACTGAGTACTTACCCAGACTCTTAAATCAGCATACCAGAGACATAAATCCCTGTTTCTCCAGCACTAGCCACAATAGTCAAGAAACCAGCCTAGATGCCTATTAGTAGATGTATGTGGAAAATGTGAGGCATACACAGTAGAATTTTTTTCAGCTGTAAAGAATATGATTGTGACATTTGCAGGAAAATGGGTAGAACAGAAAGTAGTCATTAAACTAAGCTAGGCTCAGACAAGTATTGCATGATCTCTCTCACCTGTAGAATGCATCTAGCCATAACATGAAAGCAGAGGGGCACCATTGGCAGAGAGGGCGGGATGGTAATGGGCGGATATGAGCAAAGTACAGTGATAAATACGTATTAAATGTCATAATGAAACTTACGTGCTAACAAAAAAATTAAAAAAGATGGAACATCCTTGGTGTCTATCAGGGTTGTTTGCAGGCTGTGGGAGATAATTTATGAGACAAAGCTGCCTGAGTGGTCTGTTTTAAGTTCTGCCAGTTTCCACGAGCCTTTAGAACCCAGAGGGTCCTGCCTCTGGACATGAGGCTGTCAAGGCAGGGTGACTTAACTGGCCACTAGCTCAACAACTACAAGCTCTAGAAACCTTGCCCGCTCCACAGAGGCCATACCAGTACCTTGGGCACTCACTAATGCCTCTATGACTGTTGCCTGTTGGATTTGTAACTCAAGCCTTGATGGTAGCTCCAGAATTCATCTTGGAATTTAACAATATTGTGAAAAGGGAGCTAGGAAAATAGCTGATGTGAAGTCTGTGTCACTGTCCTGTGGCTGCCATAACAAATGACAGAGTGCTGTAGAACAGCAGTGAGGAATTCTCCCAGACCCCAAGTCCAGAAAGCCAGAGTGAGCTGTTGGGAGGGCTCTTCCTCCAGGGGCTCCGGGAAGAATCTATGCTAGTCTCTTCCAGGAGGACCCAGTCTCCTATCCGCCTCGTCTTCACATGGGCATGGTTTCTGTTCCCATCCCTCTCTGCCTCTCTTAGGAGGATCCTTGTGATAACATTTAGAACTGACCAGACAATTGAGTGTCATTTCCTTAACTTTTTCCAAATAGGGTAACACACACAGGTTCTGGGTATTAACACCTACCTTTGCTTAAACATGACTTTTGGTTTCAAACCTACAGTGCGTTTTATGAGTTACCCTTGGTGTTTTGTTTTGTTTTCAGTGCTAGGGAACTTATAGAAGGAAGAAGAGTTTAGTTGTATAGACCTATTTGAATAACTCGTGGCTGGTGACTCAAAAGAACAGTGTTAAAGAAATAATACAAAAACCATAAAGCGGGATTATATTAATAATTTTTTGGTTTTTAAAATATCTTTTTAATGTATATGGGTATGTTGCCTGTATATGGGTGAGTGCACCTGTGTCATGTAGAGCCTTCAGAGGTCAGAAGAGGGCATCAGATTCCCCTGGAACTGGAGTTACAGATGGTTGTTAACCTCTGTGTCGGTGCTGGCAATCAAACTTAAGTCCTCTGCAAGAGCAGTCAGTGCTCTTAACCACTGAGTCATCTCTCCAGCCCGTTATTTGGTTTTCAAGGCAGGGTCTACCTGTGTAGCCCATGCTGTCTTCAAACCCATGGCAATCCTCCTGCCTTAGCATTCAAAGTGCTGGAACTATAACTGTATGCCACCATGCTTTGTTGAAGTGAGGATTTCATGACTATTGGAGACCACTTTCTATATTCAATGCAAATGCCATTATTGGCCTAGTTATTAATGTTAGAAAGAGAAGCTGTCCTGGCTTTTTAAATCCATCTGCCCAGAAAGATGCATCTTCCATGCAGGTGGCACACTATGCAATTCAGCACTCTGGTCTCATTGTACAGATCTGTATACTACTAAGCAGTCACCTGGGGAGGGAGAAGCAAGCTACTCCATGAGGACTTTCTCTTTAAATAATCTAAAGGATTCTCATTTCATATGCTGAAATTGTACCCCTGATAAGAAATGTGTTTGTTCCACAGAGGCCCTAGAATTTGAAGCTTTTTACTCTTCTGATTTTTCCCCTTCCTCCATGCCCTTCCAATCAGATATGTTCATCTTTTTTTTCCCCCCACAGAATTTCATTTATTAACTCTTAGTATACATATGTAGGACACCTCTTTGTGTTGTTTATTTTGTATTCTGCGGTCTTAGCCATCCTGTTACACAAAGTGCATCATGATTTCACAGAATAAACATAAAAGACCGACTAGCAAGAAGGCTCAGTGGGTAAAGGTGCTTGCTTCTAAGCCAGAGTTCAATCCCTGGGACCCACATGGAACTGACTCTCAAAAAATGTCCTTTAACCTCCTCACATGTGTCGTGGCATTTGTGCACTCATACAGATAAATAAAAGTAGAAGTAGTAAACTTTGGAGGGTCTTTCCTTGGCAGGAAATATTGAGGCCCTAGCCTGCCTCCCCCCCCTTCTCTTTCTCTTTTTCTCTTTCTCTCCCTCAGCAGTTAAGACCACTGGCTACTCTTGCAGGGGACCAGGCTTGGTTCCTGGCACCCATGTAGCAGCTAACAACTGTCTGTAACTCCAGTTCCTGGGGAATCTGTCATCCTCTTCTGACCTCTGCAGGCATTGCATGGTATGGGTGTACTTACATACATGCAGGCAATACAGTCATACACATAAAATTAAAAATAGTAGAATACTTTTTTTAAAAAAAAAACCCTAAGAGACCACCACAGTGGAGAGAGCCCCATCTCACCCTTTCCAGCCTTACCCTCACCTTCATAGGTGTCTACCAATCCAAATTTCATGACATTCGGTTACCTTGCCTGCCTTTGTTATGTGATGGTAGCATGCTATATGTACTTATTTGTGTAGCTTTTTTTTCTCAGTGTTCTGTATGTTGAAATTCATTCATGATATAGAGGATAGGGTCACCTGTACCCACCATTTCATGGTGGCCAAGCAGAGGGGGGTGCTCAATATTTCCTGCCAAGGGAGACCCTCAGTGACCTAACTTCCTCTTACTAGGCCCCAAACCCTTAAAATTCAACTCTTTCCTAATAGTATAATAGGCTAGGAACCAAGCCTTCAGCATGTAGGGGGGTACTCCAGAAGATCCATACTTAAGAGCAGGAGTTTAGAAGCAAAAAAAAAAAAAAGTCACAGAGAAGGGAAAAAAGCAAAGCTATATACAGGAAAGAGAAAAAAGCACAGTCTGCTGCCAAGAAACACTACTGGAACCTAGCAACTCAATCACAACAAATGCAGTGCAGTTATAAAGTTATACACATGCACAACACCAAGGATGTGCCAGCCCCCAGCACTGCAGACCCACACAGGTGATGGCTCAGCTGGATGCTGGAGAGAAGTTTGTCCAGTCAGTACTGTGCAATCTCTACCTGTCTTCATCAAGTTTTGGTTCATTTGTCATCTGCTCCACCCTTACCCCTAGCCCATGAAGATTTCAGCTGTATCTACATAGGTTGGCCTATGTATTTTTGTAACCTGTGTCTGGCTTCTTCCACATGTGATTACGTGGCAGCTATGTCTTTTTTGTTGTAGGGTAATGAATGACATTGTTTAATCTGTTCATTGACTAGTGGGTATTTGACCTGTTCCTGGATTATCACTAGTATTTTACGTAGTTGTTTTTAGTGTCCATGAATGATCCTTGTTTAAGTCAATTATTACTGTGATGATTATAAAATCATCCTGTGGTTGATTGTGGTTTATCCTTCCCAGTGAAGTTGTTAGATGGAATTTTCTTGTGAAGTAGACTTTAAGAGAAAGCTAGTGTGCATGCTTATGTCTAGTATTCATTTCACTATGGACTTAGGATTCGTTTTTTAAAATTAGCTGTAAATAATTCATTCTACTACTTTTGATGTCCAAATTGTGCCCCACTTGCCCAGCGGGAGTTCCATAATGTTGTCATGGCTCTTCTTTCCACACCTGGCCTGCCATGCTGCAAGCTGGCACATTGTTGGGTAGTGCAGGCCCATAGAATTGTCTACCACTGTCCTCGTATTTGCTGTGCTTGAGTAACTAGGTTTCTGTGGTCTGCTTCTTGACAGTAGACTGATCCTTTTTTTGTTTCTGTGTATTGCTTTGATTCATATCCCTCTTTTCTACAGGTTTTTTTTTTTTTTTTTTTTTTTTTTTTTTAAACTTTTATTTTTTTTTTTTTTTTTTTTTTTTTTGATTGTCGAACCTCCAACTCTTCCCCAGGTTAAGGGTGGCTTGGTATGAGTTGCTGGCTGGAATGGAAGGGATTGTTAGGACTTGGTAGGGGAATGCGGTGGGCATTATAGTAGCTCTTCTCATATTGAACTGGTTTTGAGCTAACTGAACTAAGTAACTTTGGGGAAAATTGGAAGAATAGTGTGATGTCTTTAGTGTCAAAAGAGCAAGAAGAATTTCCTTTTCTTCTTCCCGCTGCTGTCATGATTGTGGATCGTTTGACTGGGACTCCTGTTCCCCTTGAGAACTCCTGTTGCATTCCATACCACTCATTAATTCTTCCTCTGAATTTCAGGCAAAGTCCTGTGTCTGCCATGTCTGTGGCATCCACCTGAACCGGCTCCACTCTTGCCTCTACTGTGTCTTCTTTGGCTGTTTCACAAAGAAACACATCCACGACCATGCAAAATCCAAGCGGCACAACCTGGGTAAGTTTCCCTCTTGAAGCCGGAAGAGTCTTTGCCCCAGTTTGCACTTACTCTTCCATGAAGTGCTGTACCCTCCTTGTGAAACTGAGCTCAGGTGGGTGGTGCCATTTGCTGTAAGTTTTTTCAGCTGGTGTTACATTGTGTCACATGATGTGTATTCATTGTTTGCAGTAATGCAGGTCCATGAAAAACTAGCTCAGTATTATCTGACCCTGAGTGTACCAATGCTTTATAGCTCAGACTCACCCTATTTTTAGGGGTCACGTGAAATTAATTTTTACTCTTTATTTTCTGACTGTGGTTATTAAATATTTCTCCTACACAATACTGCTTTGTAAGTTAGATGTTTGAGTTTTTAGGGTGTCCTTCAGCAAGTCAGTTTGATGGGCTCTTAAGCCAGAGTGCATGTTGGGCCTAGCAATTCTAGTAAGGTATTTTTAAACCTTTCCTCCTAAAATTTGTAATGTGCTCTCTGGAAATTGTTGAATTAACAGTACGACACAAGTTTGTGAAGTTGCTTGTGAGTCTGGTACCTTCATGCTCCATGTAATCAGCACACAGAGGAAAGGGTGGAAACGCCGGTTTAATGGAGATTCACAGGCAGTGCGTCATTTTAAAGAAGTGAGATGATTTCTGTTAACTATGGAGGCTGTTGACATGTTTTCTGAAGTAGCTATCATTATGTAAAGAAAACATTAATTTCTTAGGTGACATGATGCTAGTTCATATTAAGTGTGAAAGATCAGAGTATGAAAGTTCACAAAACAATCCATTCTTTACTTTTGTGTGGTGTTTTTTAAGTATATATATATATATATATATATATATAATTTTTTATATACACATATACACCACACACACTCATTTATCCCTAATGGACATGTCTCATTTGCAGCTAGTAATAGCAGCTGTTTGCAAGAAGGTGCTTGGGGTTGAGGGCTCAGGTTGTCACAGTGAGTTAACTGGCCTTTTGGAGAGGAGAGCTAATAGCATTACAGGACTCCTGTGAGCTGTAAACCCAAGGAAAAAGACTTAGTGATGTCTTATTTATTTACTTATTTTTTGCAGTATTGGGGGTTGGACCGAGGGTCTCATGTGCTAAGCAGATGTGGTTCCATTCAGTTACACCCTGAGCTCTAGTGATGATTTTTATATTGAGTGATGAAATGAAAATGCTCATCAGAATAGTGTGTAGGTGTGATAGATCCTGTGGTATCTACTTAATATAGATTCTTGTTGTTGATGACAGAAATATGGTCCTAAGTGGTTTCTTCTCAGACCATCTTAGGACATTAGTCTGTCTGGGCTCTGACTCAGTGTTATTACTTAAAAGAGTAATGGGAAATTGGAAATGTATTTTTTCCTTTTTTTTTTTTTTTGGTCTTTTTGAGACAGGGTCTCCCTGTAACCCCAGCTGTCCTGGAACTCACTATGTAGACCAGGCTGGCCTTGAACTCATGGAGATCCACCTGCCTCTGCCTCACGAGCATTTTATAATTGTAGCTTTTACCGTGTGGTCTTTGATCAGTTGTAAGTTTATTTTTGTATGTGATATTAGGTAATTCCTATTGTGCATATGGATATCCAATGTTTCCAGCACCATTCTCTGGAGACTGCCCTTTTCCCAGGATAATCTTGACACACTTTATGAAAAGTCACTTGACCATATCTACAAGGCTCATTTCTGGACTCCATTCTGTCCACTGATTATATATGGCATATACAGTACCATGTTCTTTTTGTTACTGTTACTTTATATTAAATTTGTTGTTGTTGCTATTGTTTTGATGCAGAGTCTCTGGTATCCCAGGCTGGTTTCAAACTTGTTATGTAGCCAAGGATGTCCTTGAACTCCTGATGCCTCCATGTCCCAAGTGTTAGCATCACAGGCGTGTGCCACCATGCCAAGCTATTGCTTTGTTTTTGAGACAGAGTCTTGCCATGTAGCCCAGAATGGCCTCCAACTCAAGAACCTCCTACCTCAGCTTTCAGAGTACTGGGATTACAGGTACCACATTTGGATTGATTCTTAGTTAATGTAAGCATTTACAGCCATCAGTTTCCTTTTTAGCACTGTTTACGTTGTCACTTCCCACCCTCCTTCCCAAATCTCTTCATTTTCATTTCTCTTAAAGTATTTTCTAATTTTCCTGAGATTTCTTTTTTTTTCCCCCGCCCCCCCCCCCCCAGAAATTTCTTCTTTGGGTCATTGGAGAATGTTTCTACACATTTGTAAAATTTCCAGGTTTTTTTCTGTTATTTCTAGATTCGTTCCTATTCCATTATGATGGGGTGGGGGGGGGATTCTTTAATTATTTCAGTGGTATACCTGCTGTAGAAAGAGTGGCAGTTCTTCAGAAAGCTACACCTGGAGCTTATCCTATGATCCAGCAATTCCAATTCTAGTGAGATAACCCCAATTTTTGAAATAGCAATTAGAGCAGATACTTTTATATTAGTTTTCTGGGCTATGAAGTTGAAGGTTTTCTGAATACAAACTATTCCCTACTGTCCCTGGAGAAAGAGTGGCAAATAGCCCAGACAACAAGAGAAACAGCAAATAGCTGTTGCCTTCCTTGTGATAACGTGAGGAATTCTGGATGTAGCAAAGCTTCATTCCCCAGTAAGGTGGCTTGGGAACCCTTGGGAACCTAAAATAATATGTGAATATTCACTCTCTTCTTGCACAGATGAAGCAGAGTGTTAGTCATTTACAAGGCACTTATGAACCTCCCATTCTCACTTAACCCTCAAGGATGCTTCCAGAACTGCACATGTGTTCCGTTACCCTGGATGAACCATTATGATAGGAGCTCCTCTGGGTCTGAGGCACTGACTAGAGTAGGAAGAAGGTACAGGCATCTAGTGTCTGGAACGCTTGGTTCCCATGTTCAGCTGCCTAAAGCATTACTTTTCCATGCTAAATTGAATTTTATATTTCTTCCCTACTTTGTGTCTGCAGCTATTGACCTGGTATATGGAGGTATATACTGCTTTTTGTGTCAGGACTACATCTACGACAAAGACATAGAAATTATTGCCAAAGAGGAGCAGCGCAAGGCTTGGAAGATGCAAGGTGGGTTCTGCCTAAATTACTCTACCAGCTTGTATCTTAGTGTTACTATGTGAGCTCCTGTCCATAGCTGTTCTTGAGTTCTGAGGCTCACTACTCACTTCATTCTAAGAAAAAAATTGGGGAGACAAAAACTAGCAAAGGAAACTGGTTTTATTGTAGGTTGGCCAAATAGGAAATAATAATAAAAAAAGAAAACCTCCTGATTTTCCTGTGGCAGTCATACTACTTATAGAAATGATGGAAAAGAAGCCAGGAAACATGCAGATTTAGCTGATAGATGGGATATTGGTTCTTTCTTGGTGGAGGATGGATGGCTCTTCTACTGCCAGTACTCCACATGTCTCCATCTCACCATGGGAAGTCACCTGTACTGTTATAGCCCCTGGTTCTTACTCATTTCTCAGTCTTGAGGGGTTGGGATGTTGTGCTGTTTATTGCTGGACTTGTATGAAAATGCCTGAAATATTGGGGTCTGGCTCAGTGGTAGAATACTTATTTAGCATGTACAAGGCCTAGGGTTTGATTCCCAGCACTACAAAAAAAGAAAGAAAATTTTAAATATGCCCATGCCTAAAAGACACACCATGAACTACTGCTCTGGGCCACCAAATCAGGGTTTTTCAGAATGGAAACTGTTGCATGCAGATAACAAGAGAAATAAGAATAGCATCAGGTAACCTTGCAAAAGATAATCTCTTGGCTTTTACGGCTTACGGAAGGGCTGGCCCAGTGATTCCAGTCTTGCTGATCTCTGTAGTCCAGCCTCTACTCTATGTACCAGCATGTCATTTTGTTTCTGGGGATTCTCCCTGTTCTGTACAAGTTTTGAAGACATCACTGATTCTCAGTTTCCCCTTATTGTTGAGTTGAGATTTTTTTTTTTCCTCCCATCAGATCTGATTCCCATCTTGGGGAAGAAGACAGAGAGTTAATGCCAAAAAGACTTTCCTCTCCTTGTTGTAATCCTAAGCAACTGCAAGGTTTTGAAAGAAATAATATTTCCTAGACTGAATTTACCTGCAGTCTATTCTTAAGATTTTTAGAATATTGAATCTAAGGGATGAAAAAGTTCCCTTTTGTTTTTGCACTTCAAGGATTCTTTGCCTCCAGGTCCTTGCACACCTTCTCTTTGATAGGTGGTAGGTCTGGAAACATCCCTTATTCTTGGCTTTGAAAGTCAGATTTAAGTTCAGGCTCCTTAGCATATTATCTGTTATAAATATAAACATGTTTGAAGGAAAATACTAACAAGCAACAACCATGTTTCATGGTCAGCAAGATGGCTCAGCAGGTAAAGGTGCTTTGGCCAAGCCTGAAATTTTGAGTTTAATCTCCAGGACCCACATGATGGATGGAAGGAAAGCGTTGACTCCCACAAGTTGTCCTCTGACCTCAGCACATGCTTAGGGACATATGTGCACGCCTGCAGACACTAAATAAATTAAATAAATAAATATAAATGTAATGCAAAAACTTTTTTAAAGTTTTATAAAGATATTGGGAAACCAAAGAAAGCTTAGCAATTTACAAAACAGGCTAGTTATTTCCACTGTTTATAGAATTATATCAGGATTCCATAGGCAGCTAACGCTTGCTTAATCCTTTTACTCATTAGAGTGGCCCTGCTTAGAATATAGTGTGCTTGGGTACATCGACTGATTTATGCTCAAAAATCAACCATAACATAACTCGAAACAAACATGCTATTAAAAGGTTGGCATTAATTAGTTTGGGTGACACCAGTTTGATCAAGTGTTTTTAAGTTTTGCACTTTAGGTTTGTAGCTTGGAGGATCATAGGCATACAAAGAATTCAGGAATAATCAACGTCACTGATTATAATACAGTTGCTTTTACTTTTGAAGCAAAATTTAGAAATGTTTAATGATTTTTTCAGACCTCAGATAAGTTTTAGAAAATAGTATCAGTGACTATAAATGGACTTATTAAAAAGATTTCAAGGGCTGGAAAGATGGCTCAGTGGCTAAGAGCATTTATTGCTCTATCAGTATTCCGATAGCTCAAGGAGTGTCCAAAACTACAGAACTTCAAATGTGTCTGGTTTCTCTCCATATTTCTTTACAAATTGGTGTCTGGAACCCAAAACAAACCAAGGTCAGGACTTTTGAGACTTTATCAGGAACTGTTCAAATGCCCAAACTGAGCAATTAGAGTATTCTTCAAAATAAAACCAGGTCAAACCCAAAAGCTCTTTTCCTCTGCCAGTTCATCAGTATGTGTTCGTAGACATATAACACCCAGAGTACTAGGACAGCTTTGGCAATCCAGCAACTGGGAAACCACAAACTTCCTCCTGGGTAGGGGAGCCAAAGCTTCGAGAATGAACTAGGTTCTACAGTAGTACCTGGACTCTCAGGCACATTTCCTGCATTCTGAAAGGAAAAAAACAGAAGACCAAAATTTAGTGAAAGAACAGGTTACTGCAGTTTGGCTTTATTTCTCTGTACCTTTCTTGTGGCATACAACTTATAGAAGTGAAGAAACAAAAGTCGTTTAAGAGATAGGTACTGGTTCTTCTCTGGAGTGGAGTGAGCCGCTCTTCTGTCAACACCCTAGTCTCCTCCATTCTTACCATAGGTCTCACATCAGTGAGCCTTCAGGTCTAGGGAGAGCAGAAGTTGATGAGACAGTGAGACATTAGGGGGCAGAGGTGTCAGCCAATGCTACATTTGTGTAGGTAGGGTTCTGATAGTGGATGAGGTCTTCCAATAGCTCATTCCTTTCTTACCATGGTGACAGCCCTGCCAGGCGTCCTAGTGCTTCTTTCTAAGGCATTCCTCTTGCTTATGCCTCCCTCTGGCTGCAACTGCTGTGGGACTCTGCCTCTGCCAGGAAAGAAGACAAAACTGGCACTCTCAGGGAAAGTTTGAGAATACAGCTTAGCCCCACCCTTAGAGCATCAGTGTCTCCACTCACATCATTCAGGATGAAAGACTGTCCACAAAGATCCCCAACCAGTGGTTCATCATTGGCACCACAGAATTCTAGAAAGTGTTCTTTCTGCCTTATTATCAAAAGTAAACATATCAATTCCTTGTAGGAAGGAGCCATTTTCCTGATTGTTGTAAAGTCTCTGTTCAAACTCTGACCTACAGTGTGAAATCTGAGTTGGCAGTGGCATTGCTGAATGGAGAGTGGAACTGCCAAGTCTCCAGAGTTAGCTTAGACTCCTGCACTCCTGGCAGTGTTTTGTAGTTCTTGTGGAACCATAGGTTCCATGTTCCTGTCTCTGTCCTTGTGTGTGCTGTCAGCCAAATAGTCACAGGTACAGTAGAATGTAGCTCTGTTCTTTATTCTTCTTGTTTTCCCTGACTTTTTTTTTTTTTTTTACCACTTTTCTTGTCCTACAGAGGTTCACAGTGGTCTGCATTAATAGTGCTGGACTTGGTGTTCCCCACTTTACCAATGAGCACCTGTATCTCAAGCAGTTCAAGGGGAACATAGATCACAGCCCTGACTTGGCTGTTCTCCATTAGTAAGGCACCTGTTTTTTTGAGAGGAGAACAGAAACAGGTGCTCTCAGTGAGCAGAGTTATGTGTGTTTAACAGGTCATTTCCAGAGAACAGTCTCTTTGACTTATATTTTCAATTCTGTCATCCTCAAAGCAATACCATGTCACCACTGTGTGGGGATGCATTATTACTTTGTGCGGGACATTTGAACCATGGAGCTGAGAAATGCATATGCTGAGATAAAACAATTCTTTTGGCCTGGTGTTGTGGTACATGACTTTAATCCCAGCACTCAGGAGACAGAGGCAGGCAAATTTCTGTGAGTTTAAGGCCAGTCTGGTCAACATAGCAAATGTCAGACTAGCCAGGGCACATAGTGAAAGACCCTGTCTCAAAAAAAGTTAAAAAACAAAAACAATTCTTTCAAAATCGTTTTCTGATTCCATCTGGCCAAGAGATGCTGTCTCTTAAAAATTTATTCAACTATGCAGAAATTTAAAGTAGCATGAAAGAGTCCCTCAGTAGAGGCAGAGGCAGGTGGATCTCTATGAGTTTGAGGCCAGCTTGGTCTACGTAGCAAACTCCATGCCAGCTGGGGCTACAGGAAGACCCTGCCTTAAAAAAAAAAAAAAAAAAAAGATACCTCACATGTGGTAGTCAAGTGTTTTACCACAGAACCTCAACCTCAGAAGTACCATTTTTTCCGACAGTCACAGTTGCAGGAAGAGCCTTTATCACAGTTACTAGGTCACTCCCATTGGAGCCAATGGTGCCATCTCTGTAGCCAGGATGCAAGACATTTGAGAAACATTAGTGTCTGGTGTTTTGACTCAGGAAATGTGGCATGTTCACAGACGTGCACTGAGAAGCTCCTGTTAATGATCTGGCACAGTAAGGTGTTAAAATGGGTTCCCCTCTGAAATTCAGTCTGGCACGTATCATGTCATTACAGCTTTTATTTATAAAATATATCAAGAGAACTTAGCTAACAGCACCTGATTCTGTCCTCCATCTACTTAGGTGCTGGAGAGAAGTTTTCAACCTGGGAACCAACCAAACGAGAGCTGGAGCTGCTGAAACACAACCCAAAGAGGCGGAAGATCACCTCCAACTGCACTATAGGTAGGCAAAGGGTGCTGCGCAGAGTACTCTGTCTTCAGTCCTGATTAGACTTCTTTCCCTTAGTGTCAAATAGAAAACCATACTTTTCTTTCTTTTTTTTTTTTCTTTTCTGTTTAAGCTTTATTGTATTACCCTTCTCCAAAATACATCAAGAAGCATCAACAGTACATCTTTTTAAGTCAGTTTACAGCAAAACTGATCAAGGCAATTGTGTTTACAGAAAAAAGCTTTCAGCAAAAAGCATGCAATACAGTCCATTGAAATGCAGTGCTCATACTTTTTAAGTATATAAGAGTGGAAAATAAAAGTTCTCTGCTACTCAGCAAGAAAATAGAGGTTTGAAAGACTTAAATGGAAATTTGAAATTTAGGGATTTAAAAAAAGAACTTCTTGGTACTAAAACATCTCTCTACATTTGTAGTCTCACTTAGTTAAAAAACAAACAACTCACAAACAATAGCACATCATATGTCAAGAGATACTAAAGACCAATATGCTATTATTGAAACACCTGGTAGAATGTTTTAGACAGTTATTTACTATGCGCTGTAATGTTCGTGTAGTCCTGAGGTGAAGATAAACCAGCAGGAGAGAATACTCCTTTGGTTTCATTGATCTTTCACATGTTTTTTTCAACCAGACCTTCCATGTCAAAGACAGAAATTCCATATTTCCAAGGGAATATAGTAGTAGGTTAGAAAACCATGCTTTTCTTAGTGCAAGGTAATTCTGTCTGGGTCTTGCTTTAGTGTCCTTTTTGGGTTTTCTCAGCATCCAGGTCTCAAGCACCTGCTCTCTACAGGGGCTGCTATAGGTGTAGGATGCAGAGGGATGAATGGAGATGGTCTCTCTGGGTCCCATAGAGTCTGCATTTGTGAAGGGACTCAGGTGTGTTCTGGTCAGGCTGGTCTTCATGAAAAGAGATGACATGCCAGTGTGAGGGGGTGTTCACCAAGTCTTCTCAAAAGGAAGAGGCATATTTTAGAGTATATTTGAAAAGCACTCTGCTTTATTAGAGAGGCTACACTCTGCCCTAGCTGTTTTCATAGAAAATACATTTAGGTAATTCTTTAAAAACATAAAAGGCAAAGTGGAGGGTAGCAATAGTGGTGAACATTCCACAGTTCCTATCAAAAATTAGAAAAATACTAAATTATTTTTACTTTTCTCATGCTTCTTGAATAAGTGAAAGAGAGCTGGTCATGTAGATACAGAGAAACCTTCCATGGGATCTGGCACCTGTATCTGTAGCTCAATGCACCGCTAGCTCTGCTCTCAATGGCTCCCCATCCAGGTCTTCGTGGGCTGATCAACCTGGGAAACACATGCTTCATGAACTGCATCGTGCAGGCACTGACCCACACACCACTTCTGAGGGACTTCTTCCTGTCAGACAGGCACCGTTGTGAGATGCAGAGTCCCAGCTCCTGCCTGGTCTGTGAGATGTCCTCACTCTTCCAGGAGGTGAGTACAGCTGCCTTTTCTCTTTTTAAAAAAGATGTGAAATAGAGTTTATGATAATAAGGGAACACAAGTTTCCAGAACCTTACCTAATTGCTAGATGTTTGCTATGTAGCTCTACTGTGGAAAACATAGCTCTCCCAAAGGATTGTAGAGAATAGGTTGTTAGTTTGGTTTTTGGAGACACACTGCCCACCCATAAGAAGAGCGCTCAAAGGGGGCAGGTGTAGCATAGTCATCGTATGGATGACATTTGTCTCAGAAATCCTAACAGTTTCATATGAAACTTCTGTTGTCTCATGGGGTGCATCTCAGAAAAGCCTGCAGATGTGCACCAGCCCCTTTCCTGCTTCATTCTCAATGAAAGTGGGTCTCTTTCTCTGTGGACAAACCTTTTTAAGTGTGCTTTGTCAGAGACCTCTGCTCTGCAGACTACAGCCCAGAGATACAGTGCTGAATAAGATCTTTTCCTTGATCTGATCACAGCTGCACTTGTGCCATGCCTATCCACATCTGTCCCTGAGCAAAGGTCCACCCTGAGGCTCCACTTTGCTCACAGTTGGATCTGCTCAGGCTGAGCCTCAGTGCCTACCATCTGAGGTACCTTAGACCAGGTTCTGAAATAGCTTTTCCTTTTCTTCCTCCCCCCTAATGGTGTGGGCACCAGCCCTACAGGTCGCTGAGCAGACCTAGGCACACTTTCTCTGGCCTGCACTGAAACCAGCAGACAGGCCCAGTTGTTTCTGTCAGTTTTTTATTGGAATGCAACCAGGTTTGTGTGCTCACATGTTGTCAGGGCTGTTTTGGGCCACAACCCCAGGGTCAAGCAGTGGACAGAGTACAGGTAGCCTGTATGACGTAAATGACTCATAGCTAGCCCTTTCCAGAATAAACTTGCCAATTCTTGTCCTAGCCTAACCTATTACTAACACCTGAAGGTTACTGGTGACTGGGGATATGGCAGTAAACAGACTGAAATTGTTGGAGGTCACAAGGAGGAAGGAAGTATGCTGAGAGATGAGTGAAGGTTCATTAGCTTTAACTAGGTGTTATGTGATGTCCTAGTTTGTCTCTCCATTGCTGTGACAAGACTCTGACCAGTACCAATTTGGGGAGGAAAGGGTTTATTTAGCTTACATCTCCCAGGTCACAGTTCATCAGGGAGCACAAGGTAGGAACTCAGGGCAGGAACCTGGAGGCAAGAGCTGGAGCACAGGCCATGGAGGAACACTGCTTACTGACTTGCACCCCTGGCCCCTGCTCACCCTGCTTTCTTATGCAACACAGGCCCACCTGCCCAGGGATGGCACCACCTACAATGTGCCAGACCCTCCCACATCACACAATAATCAAGAAGATGCCTCACAGACATGTCCATAGGCCAGTCCAGTGGAAGCAATTCCCCAGTTGAGGCTCCCTCAATCCATGTGTGTCAAGTTGACACTAAAACTATCCACACATGACAGATGGATCTGTTAACTTATTTAAAAAATGTTTTGATTTATTTTTATGTGGATGTATATTTTACCTGTGTGTATGTAAGTGTACCATGTGTGTACAATGCCTGCAGAAGCTAGAAGAGAGCATTGGATCCTCTGGAACTGAGGTTATGAATGGTTGTTAGCCACCATGTGAACCCAGGTTTTCTGTAAGAGCAACCAGTAGTCTTAACCTCTGAACTATCTCTCCAGCCTGTTTATTTTTTAAACAGGGTTTATTGAGGTATAATTTGTATGTGGTAGAACTCTCTAGTATGTAAATCTGTGGGTTTTGACAAATGTATACTCACAAAACACCACCACCTTCATACCCATCTGAAGCCAGCCCCCTGTCCCTGGTGACACCAATCTGCTTCTGTCCCCTGAGTTCCTCACTTCTGTATACATCATATGGATGGATGGATGTCAGGTATCCCTAGGGTTATGTATATGCAAATATTCCACAGTTCTCTCTGGGTTTGGCTGTGTCTCCTTACCATGGTGCACTGAGGTCATGTGAATAGCACCATCTGTCTGTGTTGCCAAAGAATGTTCCATCTTGTGGCCACAGTACAGTTTGCCACTGCCTGGTTTAGAGACATTTGGAGGTTTCCAGTTTTTAGTGTTATAAAATGCAACACATAGGGACTGGAGAGATGGCTCAGCGGTTAACACTGGTTGTTCTTGCAGAAGACCCGTGTTCGAATCCCAGAACTCACATAGCAGCTAATAACTGTCCATAACTCCAGTTCCAGGGTATCCAACAGCAGCCTCTTCTGTCCTCGCAGGCATTGCACGACACAGGTGCACTTACCTACATGCAGGCAGTATACTCATACACATAAAAATAATAAAATATTTTTTTAAAATGCAGTACATAGATATGTACAGGGTTTTGTGTGAAAAATGTTTCTCTCCGACATCTCTCCCTGTTTATTAATTTTTCATCACTGTCTTGGTTTTCAGTAGTGCAAACAGTCTACCTCTTAATACTTCATGGTTTGGGCACTATTATAAATCTGTTTTCAGTTGTAGTTTCTAGTTGTTCGTTGCTGGCAGAGGTTGAGCATCCCTGATCTGATAAGCAAAACCAAAAATAGTCCATATTCTAAAACTTTTTGATCAGCAACATGATGCCACAAGTAGAGAATTCCACTCTAGTGCTGTGATATTTAAGTGTGCACAAACTTTGATTCATGCACAAAAAGTATTACCTTCATTGGAGTTTTATGTTTAGAGTTGGGTCCATTGACAAGATGCCTTATATATGCAAATACTATGAAATCCAAGATACTTCTGATCCAAAGCTTTTTAGGTAATGAATACTCAGCTTTTACTGCCCACCCTCCACTGGCCCAAGGACAAACTGTTCTATGGCTTAGCTCTCCATTCATGGAGAGAAGTAGGTATTTATGTCAACTTTTGTTGGATTCCTACCATATACTTTTTTTTTTTTAAGTTTTTAAAATTTTTTTAATTTTTAAATGTGATATGGAGGGTATGCATATGTGGGTGTCCAGGGAGGCCAGAAGAGAGCATTGGATCTCTGGAGCTAGAATCACAGGCACTTATGAGCCAGCTGACATAGGTGCTGGGATCAGAACTCAGATCCTCTGGAAGAGCAACAAGTGCTCTTAACCACTATGTTATCTCTCCAGCCCATACACTGTTGTTTTATAGGTAATATATGAAAACAGAATATTTGAGATTCAAAATTAGTTTAATGCCCAGCTTTAAACTACAGGTCACAACAGAAACTGAGCATGGAGGTCACCAAAAAGGGGTTGGGGAGCAACACCAAAAGGTTTCTGAATGCACAACAACCAAAAATTCAAAATCATATACCTGATGGATCTGAGGTATGACTTCAGCACAGCTTTGGTTTTAAGCACAAAGCATGTGCACTTTGGTGTGTGCTACCATGTCATACAGTAGCAATAAGTGCTGCCTGAAACACCTCCCTCAGCGAAGAATTAAGGCTGTTGTCTGTTTTTACTGTAAAGTTTTCCCCTTTAATGGAAACAGTGGCTTAATTGCAGAAGACAAAAGCATTTAATATTTTCCTATCATCATTCCTCAGTATATAAATATCAAATTCATTTATCTTTAGATTGTGGTGTATTAGAATGTTTGGTTTTTTTAAATTGCTGTTTGAGTTGCTGGCTAAGGTTGTTTTTAAAGATTTTTTTAAATTTTGTTTTCACTTTATGTGTATGAGTGTTTGCATTTGCCTGCATGTATATAAGTGCACCTGTGTCCTGCAGTGCTGGCAGAGACTAGAAGAAGGTGTCAGATCCCCTGAAACTGGAGTTAACAGATGGTTGTTAGCCACCATATGGGTGCTAGGAACTGAACTCAGGTTTTCTGCAGGATAGCAAGTGCTCTTAACTGCTGAGCCATCTCTCCAGCTCCCTGACCTGAGTTTTGTAAAAAAAAAACATTAAATACATTTTGGCTTGAGATTAAGACAAAATCTCCTGCAATTTCTGAAGTGGCCTCAAATATACTTCTGTTATTTTGTACTGTGAATTTCTTTGAAGTGGCTTCTTGGGCAAAGGGGGTGGCAATTGAAAAAGTTTAGGAAGCCCTGGTCTAATGAATGTGGGAAGTGCATTATGGTATGGCTGAATGCTTGACTCTTGAGATATTACAGTGCCATTGATCATTGCATCCAGTGTGCACTTTAGCCTTGCAATGCCAAATTCTCTCCTGGGAGGCCTGAGAACTTCTCAGCTCCCAGACCCCATGCTCTCCTCACTGACAGACAGACAGACAGACAGACAGACAGACAAAACCAATACAGTGCATTCTAGACAGGTTTTTGAATAGAATTTATAATGTTTGAAAGAGTGTTACTTACAAAGGCATGCACCCATTGGCCCTTTCTCCTACATCTCAGCTGAGCTTTCAGTTCCAAGCTCGCTCAAGCACTAGCCAAGATGGAAACCTCCTGCACAGTTCATTGTGTGAACTTATCAGCAGAAATAAAGTGAAGGAAAGTGAGATTCAATCCAGTGAGTCTGAATAAAAATACAGTTTGCAGGAAGAAAAAAGTGAACCAGTTTGGTCAAACTAACCTTACCCAGTCCATGTAGCTGTGAAGTTTTTATTGCGCAATCAAGACTAGCAGGTGTCCCACTTTTCCTGTTTCCTTCTCTCTGAACAGTTTTACTCGGGACACCGATCGCCACACATTCCATACAAGCTGCTACATCTGGTATGGACCCATGCCCGGCACCTGGCTGGTTACGAGCAACAGGATGCACATGAGTTTCTCATTGCAGCCCTGGACGTCCTCCACCGGCACTGCAAAGGTGAGCCTGCTGCCATCTCCCTGCTGGGCTGGGATAGGCAGGATGTTTCCTTAAAGAGGGAGCAGAACAGGGCTTGTGCACACCCAGGGAACTGTGTTCTATAGACTGTATAATCATGTTTCATTTCCATTAAGGAAAATGGCTTGGTTGCCTTCCAAAAAATTCTCCACAATTTGCTATTATTGATTGGTTTTGGATTTTTTTGGAAATGGTCTCATGTGTAACTTATGCTGGCCTGAAGCTCTGGTCCTCTTGTCTCAGCCTCCTAAGACAAGATTACAGGTACAAACCTTCATATGTGGCCTGTCTTTAATAGAAAGTAATGAGCTTCGTCAGGTCTCTCATTGAAGTACATGTATTTCATAGAGTATTGACACTCCTGCCTCTGCTGGGTGGATATGGACTTGCTGTCTGCTATGTACTACTGTCTGCTGTCTTGATGGCACACTGATAGTAATCATTCATGCTCTATACCTAGGTGATGACAATGGGAAGAAGGCCAACAACCCCAACCACTGTAATTGCATCATCGACCAGATCTTCACAGGCGGGCTCCAGTCTGATGTCACATGCCAAGTCTGCCAGTAAGCACTCTGATCAGTGTTAGAGTCTGCCTCGGCTGTGCCAACATCATGTTGGATTTCTCTGTCAGCAAGGTTTTGTGTTTGATGGGCTACAAAGGTATAAACCCTAACCCTAAAGCCTAGCCTTAGAAAAGGATCACTGGGTTACCTGATACAGTGGCACACCTATACCAGCCACCAGACAAGGACCAGTATTATTTAAACAGCCATTCTATTGTTGTTTGGAATAAAGTAAACAGAAAAGACACAAGAGAAATCAAGAGATTGCCAGAGTGCTTAAGGCTCTACCTTTTGGAGGCCTGTGGAGCCTGAACTGAGGTCATCTTTGCTGTTGTGGCATCCAACAGGGTGTCCCCTGGCAACTTTACTCGGTTTTTTTCTGCTTTGTAGCCTTCAAAACCAGGGACCTAATTAAATATTTCCTTCAGGTGGCAGATTCTTGACTTCTGTGCTCCAAAGTATGATAGTTTTCATTACTCTGTGGTTCCTTTTCCATTCACTGGCGTAAAGCCCCAGTCCTTCCAGGTGTAGTCACTGCTTAGAGCTTTCACCCTCAGAGCCAAGGAAGATACTTCGGCAGCAGCTAAGAGTCCTCCCCTCACCTCTGTGTGTGCCGTCGTCTTTACAGGCCTCTGTACTTCTGCTCACCTCCAGACATGCTGCTGTTCTGTTCCTGTGCAATGTTTTAGGAGCCTAGTCATGGTCTCCTGGTGCCTATCTGTACTCTGGACCAGGACCCAGGAGGCTGGGAGGGCTCCTACAGTCTTTCAGGAACCAGAACTCCTTTGTGGCCTTGCTTTTGAGCAACGTAGAACTCCTCACTGGCCCTTAACTAAATTCCATTAGCTAGAAATGGTCTCAGGTTTTGGTCCTTATCTGTAGCAAATTTCCCATTCTGAATTTCCCATTTTTAATATTGAGTTTAAGCCTTCTGGCAGAAGTCAACCTTATTAAATGCAGTGGACCCTGTTTTGTGGGGCTGCCAAGCTTAGCCTGTGTGCACGGGTTCTCTATCATCACCTACGCAAGGCACCTAGCTTCTGGGCAGTGTTGATGGCAGTTCCCAGATGCTGCGAGGTAGATCAAAGAATCCAGAGCCCTGCCTGGGCCTCAAGATTTTATTCTGTGCCAAATCCCCCAAACAAAGTTATCACTGTGAGCACTTGTTTTTTGTTCTTGAGTGTCTTTCCAGCAGAAGACAGAGCAGGCAGGGTATTGTGTATGTCTATAGGGGTGCCTCAGAGGCCCCAGGGACACCAGTTCTCACATTTTCATCTTTTCCTGCAGCGGGGTCTCCACCACCATAGACCCTTTCTGGGACATCAGTTTAGACCTGCCTGGCTCTTCCACCCCATTCTGGCCCCTGAGCCCAGGCAGTGAAGGCAGTGTGGTAAATGGGGAGAGCCATGCATCAGGCACCACAACTCTCACGGACTGCTTGCGAAGGTGAGGTACTACCTACAATCCTGGGTAAGAATGCCACATTATCTTCTCCTCACAGGAAGTCTATTGAAAAACAGTCAGCAGGAAGCCCAGAACTCAGGGCCAATACGTGTGTAGTGCTTTGCTTTGTTATAATCAGAACCAGAGCATGAGAAAGGTGTGGCATTAGCTGGACTGGCTGCAACAGTTCAAACTAATCTTCCTTCCTTTGCTTACTTATTCATTCATTTGTGGGTATGGGTATGCACAGAGGTCAGAAGATAACTTAAGGGAGTTGGTTCTCTCTCTCCACCATGTGGATCCAGGAGGTCAAACTCAGGTTGTCAGGCTTGGTAGCATACCTTTCTTTACCATCTCACAATCTCACAAGCCCACTCTTTTTTTTTTTTTTTTTTTTTTTTTTTTTTTTTTTTTATGCCCCAACCCCCTTTTTTTTTTTTTTTTTTTTTTTTTTTTTTTTTTGCAAGATTACCAAACATTTCGTGCTTTCTATGGTAGCGTGTCTGTGTCACAAGCCACTAATCTGCACCCACCTACCTTTATGTAGGTGAGCCACAATAAACTGAGACCTATGTCTGACCTTTTGTGCATGTGATTGTGGTGTTTTGCAATTCCCAGTCATTTTTAAAATTTACCTCTTTACTACATTGATAGAGACAAGTAGTAAGATTTAGTGTGCTTTTGGTTACATTGATTGAACGTTGTTGTAGAAGAGTCCCTGCTAAGTGGCACAATCCATAGAAGAGTATTGAGGGTTTGAGTCTTCCTTGCTACAGTCAGTAGAACTAGAGTTGCCTGTTTGGCTTTTTAAAGTATATCACCTTTGTTTTACTGACAGGTACAGATTTTAAGTGGGACATCAAGATTTTTTTTCTTATTTCAGGAAACAAGCAGAGAAATAACCAAAAACATTTTCTAAGAGTGTCTGTTATCGTACCATCCTGTTGTCATGCTAAAACACTGACCAAAAGCAACTTGAGGAAAGGGTTTATTTTGTCTTAAACTTTGCTGGCTTGCTCTGCTTACTTGCTTACTCATGCTGAGGTAGCTTTTTTCTTTTTTAAGATATCCCAGGACCACCTTCCTGAAGAATGGTGCCATAATCACATTTCACAAACGAAACTACTTACAGCTATGGGTTTCTAGAAGGGGTGTGGGGCTGTGGCAGCAGCCAGAGGCTGTAAGGACATGAGAGGGCTGGGCATAGTAGTACATGCCTATAAACCCAGCATGTGGGGGGCTGAGGCAGAAGGATGCAAGTTTGAGGCTAGCCTGAGCAGTACAGCAAGACCCTGTCTCAAAATAAATAAAATGGGCTAGAGGTGTAGCTCAGTGGTAGATCACATGCCTAGTATGCACAGGGCCTGAGCTTGACTCTCAGTGCTGGGATGAAAAAAGAAAAAGAAAAAACACAGAGGGTCATTTTCCAGTTCTGCTGAGAATGGGTACAAATCAGATTGTGAGGCAGGACAGGTAATCTCATGTCAGAGAGTATTGACCTACCCCAGGAGAGATGGCAAGGTTCCCAGAGAACAGGAAAGGTCTTTCATAACTGGCTGTGAGAAGTTGGATTTTTGGTTTTGGTGTTAGATTTTAGGCACACGCTGTGCTGATGTGTCTCTGGTTGTCGACATGGCTTCCTGGCTCCAAAATGGCCTGTCTAGCACATCATATTTTTGTTTCTAGAAAGTCACCATTGTTCTACATGCTTCAGTCTTTAAAAATTAACAGAGATCATTGTAGATACTCCTGCAGCTGTAAGGTAGCATGGTGATCTCTGTACCTTCACCTAGTCCCCCAACATGACATCCTGCAGCACAAAAGGGCATGTCACTGCAGCATGTTGAGGCTGGCACAATCAGGAGCATATCCATCCCTCCCTGCCACACTTCCACCCTGTCCCACCTCCACCTGCCCACCATCACCCTGTCTGTTCATCAACTAAGCAACCAAGCTACATCTCAAGGAGGTTTTGAATAGATGCCCACAGCATGTCACCTGTGGGATGGGCTCTTTCTACCTGTCTTGATCTCTGGCAACCCAGAGTATTGTGTGTATTGGTAGATCATGCCATTCTCCTATTGACCCATGGGTGATGATAGAGTTTGTGTAGTTTTTTTTTGACGGATTCTGTTATTTTAAGACGAGTTATGATAATAAGAAAATGATAATAAGAAAATCAGCATTTCTCCAGACCTTTCATTTAAACAAAATATTTAAAATAAAATAATTTGAGAAATAGGAAAAGGTGAAGAAAAAGTTTCTCCTTCATTGTGAAGTTGTAAATGTCCTTAACTGGCATATGCTTTTAGTTGTAAAATAACCCGTTCCCTCCCCAACCCCCATCCTTTACTTTTCCCTCTTTTTTTGCATAAAGCATATTTTTTTTTTAATGCTTTGTAGATTTACCAGACCAGAGCACTTAGGAAGTAGTGCCAAGATCAAGTGCAGTGGTTGCCATAGCTACCAAGAATCTACAAAGCAGCTCACCATGAAGAAGCTGCCCATTGTGGCCTGCTTCCATCTCAAAGTGAGTTTCCCAGAAAACCAGACCCAAGGACTGCCCAGTATTCCCTGCAGCACAGCCTCCAGCCCCCTGGCTTGGAGCTCCTGGTCAGGAAGTGGGGCTTTCCTCTCTGTAGCTAAGATGTGCTGATGACAAAAAGTAGGAGCCTCCTAGTGAAAACAGGAAGGGAGCTGCTGCTGGGGAAGTGGATACATTTTGCTACTTCCCAAATTCCTCCATCCCTTCTTAAATTCATATCCCTCCCTCTCTGTATATTGTGGGGGGGGGGGTATGTGCCCCTGTGTGTGCATAGATCCGAGGAGACATCAGATGTCTTGATCTATGATTCTCCACCTTATTCCATTGAGACAAGGTTTCTCACTGAATGTGGAGCTAGACAGTAAACCCCAACAATCCTCCTGTCCCCACCTCCCATAGCACCAGGGTTACAGGTGCATGTAGCCGCTCCTGGCTTTTTATATGGGTGCTGGAAATTTGAATTAAGGTACTTAGTGCAATGAGTATTCCTTCCTACTGAGCCATCCATCTCCCCAGCTCCTCTCTCAACTTTCTGTTTTGTTTAAAGACCCCATTTTGGTGCTTAATATGTACAGGGCCCCAGAATTTCAGAAGGAAAAAATCCAGAAAACAGAGACCCTTAGAATTTTATCTAGTCCAGCTGTTGACAGACTTTTTCTGGGAAGAGTCAAGTAATAAATATTTGAGGCTTTAAAGGCCACATATGATCTCTGTTACCTATTCTTTGATATAAAAGATCGGGCTGGACATGGTAGTACAGAGCTGTAATCTCAGCATTTGGGAAGCTAAGACAAGGAGGATCATGGGTTCTATGCCAGTTTGGGCTATATAACAGGACCCTGTCTTAGGAAATCAATGAAGAAATGAAAGTGAAGTTCTGTGAGGACCCTTGTTGGGAGCCTTTTGAAGCTGGCAGGCCTGACTGTTGCTGTCATTGCTCACTTCTCTTTCTCTCCATCTCTGCAGCGATTTGAACACTCAGCCAAACTTCGGCGGAAGATCACCACATATGTGTCCTTTCCACTGGAACTGGACATGACACCATTCATGGCCTCCAGGTAGAAAGGGTTGGTTCCCCTGAGTCCATTTGGGGAGGTAGGTTGTTCTGTGGGTAGTCATCTAATACCAGCTTTCTAGGACAAGTCCCCAAACCTAGTTAATTATCCTGATCTTACCTACAACACATTTTAGAGAATTGTTCCTCTCAGATGGGCCATTTGTACTATGAATCATCATCAATTTTTTTTTTTTGGTCTTTGTGAGACAGGGTCTCCCTGTAGCCCCAGCTGACCTGGAACTCACTATGTAGACCAGACTGGCCTCGAACTCAAAGAGATCCACCTGCCTCTGCCTCCCAAGTGCTGTGATTAAAGGCGTGCACCACCACGCCTGGCCCCAATTTTTTTTTTTTTATCAACTCTCAAACTTGTGAAATCATCAAGATGAAGTCACATGCAGACCACAAGTAACATTTCGGTTGATGGGAACAGACTTTAAAATATAAATAAACATGGTTGAATTGCAGCTACGGGTTCTATTTTCTTTGAGATAAAATCATGTATCATAGAACACATAAAATTTTAACTCTCTAAAAAAAAAGCATGGTACTTGCTAATGTGTTTGTTGTATATGACTAGCAGTGGATATAGAGAGGTCTGCTTTGGAAGTATCCTGGTAGGGTTCCCTTCCTTGTCTCCTCCAGCTCCTGGAGGTTCTGGGTCTTGTTCTGGCCTCTGGGCCCAGGTCCTACTATAGTCTGTTTCATCCCTTGACTCCTCTCTCCTAGATAATAGTGGTTAGGGGTAAGGCCTACCCAGAAGACCTCATCCAACATCCTTCATACAAGATGATTCAGATGACAGTTTTTCTGAATAAGGTCACATTCACAGTTCTAGGGGGTCAAAATTCAGACAATACTTTTTCAGAGGCCACATATCAACCCACTATACCGTTTCTTGCAGATTTCCTATTGTTACAGCTTTTGATATCCTTCCTTGTGGCTCTGTTCCTGTGGTTCACAGGTCACTACCTGAAGTAAGATAAGAACATGAGACTTAGATTTATCAACCTGCTCCAAGGAAAACGAGGTGGTCATGTGTCCAGGGAGGAGGTGACACTTGCTGATACTGGGGTCTCAGAGGTCTTAAGGTCTTCTGCTAACCATGTAAACTTATCAAAACTAGCTTGAAACTATTCCTTGCCTTCCATTCTATCAGATATGCTGCTGATGAGATGCATCATGGTGACCCTTGTGCTCTTTGAGTATATGGAGTAGGGCTAAGTTACACACTGCCTTTGGAAGGAATGCTTTCACCATTTGGTGTATTACAAGCAAAACTTTTCAGAAAGCTGTATCAGAAGCCCCCAGGGCAGTGACTGGCTGTGAGTTCTTAACTCAAGAGTGGGCTCATTGTGTTCATAGGCTTATATGTAACCTGCTTCAGCCCAAGCCTGAATTTCTCACCCCACATGGAGACAGCCTGCCTGGGAGAGCTAGACAGTGTATAATGTGTATTTCACATGGCATCTGCAGAGCGGGTCCTCAATGTGATCATTACAGCTTGTATCTCTTGTTAGCTATTTTAAGTAATATGAAATTTTACTGCTGCTCCTTACAGCAAAGAGAGCAGGATGAATGGACAGTACCAGCAGCCCACGGACAGTCTCAACAATGACAACAAGTATGTTGGACTGTGGGGATTGTAGGGGGTAAGCAGGCATCCTGGACCATGCATGTCTGTACCCAGTGGGTAGTGAGTGGTTCCCATATCTCAGGCCATTGGCCTACTTCTTTCTCTTCTTCTCTCCTCTGAACACTGTCCTCCTCCTGGTGATGGCCCCACTGTAGAGGCCTCTGATGTGAGGTTTTTCCTAGAAGCTCAGTCTATTAACCAGCCTAATGGACCTGTTCCTCCAGGTACCATTCCTCTTGCCAGCGATGTCACAGGCAGATGGCACAAGTAAAGCCATTAGTTACTCCACTGCTGACTGCCACTGCTGTCCACCACGTCTTCTAAATCAGTTCTAGGAATTAGCTGGGCTTGGGCCAGAGCTGAATGATAAAGACGTAGCTCTCTCCACTCTATAACCAATAGGCTCTGCTTTAGCTCTGGGCATTAGGCAAAGTCAGGAGACCCCCCCACACACATGTGTGGTCTCCAACTTTATACTATCATTCATCTGCTTTTCTCCTCACCCCCCAAACCAGGTACTCCTTGTTTGCTGTTGTTAACCATCAAGGGACTCTGGAGAGTGGCCATTACACCAGCTTCATCCGGCAGCACAAGGACCAGTGGTTCAAATGTGATGATGCCATCATTACCAAGGCCAGCATCAAGGATGTGCTGGACAGTGAAGGGTACGTCTAGGGCATGGGGTTGGAGTAACCCACCCTGTGTGCCTGGAGCCACAAGGTAGTCCGTGCCTGCCATACTCTGAGCATTCACCTTCATTCACTTTACCTTTGTTGCTAAAGGGACAGCAGCTGCTTGAATCAGATGCCACCTTTAAGTCATAGTTGAGGGCAATAGTGCCACTGGCCAGATGTACTATCATTCCTCCCTTAGGAATCTTGGCCAGCCTGTGTCCTGACCATGCCATGCAGAGTATAGTGATCAGCCTCTCTGCTGTTTTTATTACTCCTGGCACAGAAACTTCCTGCCTTGCAGGGACCAAGAAGCTTTCATCATTCACCCTGAACCTCCTTAGGCCCTTAGGAATCCCAGCCCCAAGACAAGAGAGACCAACCACCATGGATGTTTAAGGGTAGAAGTGAGGCTCTGGGCCCTAGGTGTCCCCGGGAGAAATGTCACGGAAGAGTGTGCTGCTGGAGTGTGCCTGGGAGGCATTGAGAAGCACATGGGCCCTGCATGATATCAGTACCATTGTAGAAAGGAAAGACAATGACAGAGAGGGCTGCAGGGAATCCTTGAGGCCATAGTGACTCCCTGGCAAGTAGGGTGGTCAGGTTGGGTGAAGGGTGGGAACAGTGTCTCTTCTACTTGGGGACTTGTAGCTACAGCATCCAACCAAGAAGTTAGACATGCAGAGGGCTTGTGTACCATTCTTACCTGGCATGGGTTATTTTGGGAGTTAGGACTAAGACCACTTCCCCTCTGCCTCCTCAGGTACCTACTGTTCTACCACAAACAGTTCCTGGAATATGAGTAGCTTCCTGCCCAGCTGGCCAGAAAAAAAGGAGAACAAGTTGGCAAGCTTCCTGACATATCCAGCCTCCCCACATCAGAACACTGTGGTACCCCTCCTGTGCAGATGTGCCTCATACATGGCCCCTCTGCACCTAGGAGGTGTGGTGTTGGAGTGGGCATGGGCTGTGGTAGCTGAACAGAGTGTGCCCTTGAAAGGAGCTGAGGGGCTCCCTCACCAGCATCTGTCCTCAACCTTGTGGGAGGCTTGGGGTGGCTATTCTCAGTGCAGGCCACCCTCTGCGTGGTGCTTCATTCTGTCATCCCACACACGATTTAAAAGGCCTCATTGAAAATGAGTCCATTAAAGCAGTAGAGAAGACAAAGATGATGGCTAAGGATAGAGTGCTTGTAGCACCCCTCTCTCTGAGCTGTGCACAGCATTAAGGCAGGGAGTATGGACTAGCCTCTGTTTTTTCTACAGCTGTCAATCAGCCCAAAAGCCCAGGCTGAGATCACTCACAGGCTGCAAAACCTATCTGTCCTGCAGAGAACTTAGCATCAACTGCATGTAGAAACATCAGCCCAGAGGTTCCCTGTTTTCCAGAAATAGGCATTTTCTTCTCCCATCCACCTTTCTCTTCCCACAATGGTGAATTTCATAAATGTGATAGTAGTAATGTGAATGTTTATCAAGTTCCTATGGAAATCTAGATGATACTCCTCCTTTCTGAGACCGCCGTGCTTTTTGATCAGAGCTGTTTCCTTGTGTCGTCGTGGTGTTGCCCCCCCCCACGCCCTGCCTTTTTCTCCACTTGGTCAGATGGTAGAGGAGAACCAGACTGCCTCCCCCAAGGGATTAATCCTGATCTTTGCAGTAACTTGAGTGTTCCCTAATGGTTCCATTGGCCCCATGTCCCATTTTTCTTCTTGGTCCTTGGTCCTGTTACCTGTTGGCTGGTATGAAACGTGAAGTTGAGTGGCCCCAGAGATTGCATCATGTCACCATCTTGCCTCCTCTCTTCTACGTTTGCTGTAGTTTCGGTTACAGCCAGAATAAAAAGACTTGGTGTTTGACCTTGTCAGCAGAACTGGTTGAGGAAGTTTCTTATAAGATACCTTGCATGTATCTACTTAAACAAGACTTAGACTGTCCATTTCTTTGGGTTTGGTTTTTTTTTTTTTTTTTCCTTTGGTCTTGAGACAGCGTCTCCCTATAGTCTCAGCTGGCTGGGAACTCACAGAAATCCACCTGCCTCTGCCTCCTGAGTGCTGGGATTAAAGGCGTGTGCCACCATGGCTAGCTTAGATTATCCATTTCTTTAAAATACAACCTAGGGAGTTAGAGTTGGAGCAGTTATTTTCTGTCCCTCTCCAGCTATGCTTCCCTGGGAACCTTTCTGGACTGTTTGCTCCTCATCCTGGGAGTTGTAGGACTAGCACGTGAAGAACTAGGCATGAGCGCTTCAGGCTCTGGGCTGTAGATTTCTGCAGTAGGTAACATGTGAATAGTGAGTATGGCTGTGTTCCGTAATACTTTATTTACAGACCCTAGAGTTGAATTGCATATAATTATCATGTAGAAAGAAATTTTTATTACTTTTTTGACTACTTGAGAATGAGACTTTTCTTCACTGGCCACACAAAAGCAGGGCAGGTCCCAGCCCAGCACATTGGCTAGCTGTGATGGATGAGGTGGTAGTGGCAGGAGCTAAGTGACTGTTGCTCACTGTGAGTGAAAATCACCAGAATGCAGGAACAGCAGTGGCGGAAGGGTCAAGGCGGCAAAACCCTCACTCATATGGTGCAGCTTCCCACTTGCCTTGTTCATTCTCTAATGTATTTTACATTTAAAAGAAGAATTGAAGCATGTCTTCGAATAAGCATTATCAGAAAAATATGGATGGGCCTAGATTTTCAGACATGGCCCTATCTTGTGGGACTCTGCCTTGGAGATGCTCTTAGGAAGCATCTTCATTAGGAAGAGCAGCACTCTCATGTGAACAAATCCACGGGAAAAGATTTCACTGAGTTGGCCTGCAAGAGTCAGAGCTTGAAGCCTTTCCTGAAGGTCTGCCTCCTGGACATGCTGGCCAGATGGGGTGTCCAGAAACAGGGGAAATGAGCAGGTATGCTGGCCAGGCCTGCGCCCCCCAGCACACAAAAGCCCGTCTCTGCCTATGTTCAGGGCATTGGGGAGAAGGACAGCGGACAGCACATTTGTCTTCTGTTAGCATGACTAACCTTTTGTATCCAAATGCATTCCTCTCCTTCACTGTGACTTTTTAGCAGTTTAAGCACTTCGCTCTGTACCTGTGATGAGGAGGCCAAGACCCCATGGTGGCCACACATCTCTCTGGCCCTGCCTCAGTGTCCTGGGGTCCTAAGGAGCATGATGTCTGTGCTGGACAGGCGTGTGTGAATGACTCTGCAAATCTGCACAGCATATCTGCACAGTGGGCTAGAAAGCTCTTTTAGCTCCCCATTGGAAATCAAAAAATGGTTTCCTGTCTGAGGACCCCTCAGTGTGGATGCTTAGGTGCTCATCTCATCACAGAGGGTTGCATTGCCCGCCCCCAGGCTAGAGTGGTAAGCAGACCTGTTTCCAGAAGCTGCTCTTGCCAGCTTCTCAGGAAGCAGGATAGGACCTGACATTGCCTCCCTCCACCCAGGGCTGCCTCAGGCTGGGCAGCGCTTTGGGCTCCCTCTCAAAGCAGTAATGCCCTGCACCATGTGAACCTAAGTACTGTTGTTTTGACTTGGTGTGTATGCTTTTCCTTGTGTAAAATCATTGTTCTTTTGACAATTCAAGTGACTTGTTTCATTTATTATAGCTTTGAAATCAAAAAATTGTGAGAAAAAAAAATCCAATGATTGTACTGTGGTTAGACATTTTATTACCAAGACGTTTATGCTACCTTTCTTTCCCCTGTCATTTTGAGGGACTACTTGACTCTCTCCTCTCTGATGGCTTCTAGCCTTTACTATATCATAATAAAGCTGTGTTTTATTCTGAAACCGGCAGTTTCCCTCATCACTAATACAGACAGCTAAGGGGAGGGTAGTAGGAGATGCCCAGCCTGATGGGCCTGAGGCAGGCTAGCCCTGGGTTGCTTCAATGTAGAGATGTCACGCATTCCACCTCCTCTATGGTGGGCTCACTGCTGTTTAACCCTCCTTTTTTCCTTTATGGGCAGGAGGGTGACGTCAGGACAACCAGTGCTTTCAGAGTCACCTGAGGCCTTTGAGTATAGGAATTTGTGTCCCAGTGAATTGGGCAGCATAGTTGTGACATGGGAACATGCCTTAGTCACAAGATCCCCTGGGCAAGTCCATGGCTGTAATATCAGACAGAGGTACATAGTGGACATTGCCACCCACTCCCATTTCCCTGACTTCAGCTCGTTGGGTCAGTCTCTGAAGCTGGTGAATTCTGAAACATTCTGGCCCTCCCTTTTTGGTCACCTCTATTGCAAGCCTTTGTATTGAGTTCTTTTGTATCAAGAGGCAAAAAAACTTACGGGTTCCAGACTTGGTCCTTGACTTCTCTGTGCAATAGGGTGTTCCTCCACAAAGGGTGTTCCTCCAGCTCTGTCTTTCCCAACTTAAGCAGAAAACAACAGGACCAGAGGTGTAGGCACTAAGGCTCCAGGAGTCAATTGTGGTAGTTTGATTTCCTTAAAAAGTCTGAGCCATGAATTGGCAAGCACAAGGTTTTCTGGAAGCAATCAGGATCAACCCTCTTTAGGGAGAGAAGGTAGGGAGAATGGAGGCCTCAGCCAGTCTCTGGAGGCTATGAAACAGGATGCCCTACAGTATTCCTGGGGGAACCACAGAGCTAGGACTTTGTATGTTGGCTTGGCCCAGTCTTAGATGAAGGATATTCCCAGAAAAGTTCAGCCTGGGTGGCGTGGCTTTGTTCATTAGAAGAGTGAACTTCAATGGGTAGCCCCCCTGCAAGCAAGGGAACATGGCTTCTGTGCCCAAATTTCTAGGTCCCTATCTCTGTCTAGACATAAAGTCAAAACCTGACAAGTAGGCTTGGGGATCCAATTTAAATCAGACTAAGCTTGAAGCACCAGCTTGGACCAGTTTGTGGGGAGGACCCTGCTTCCTCCTGAGTTCACATGTCTCTTGCCCACCAGAAGACAAGCTTCTTTTTCCATGGGAAGAAATTTACCCACTCACTGCTCCAACGTGTGTGCTCTTTTAAGTTAACAGGCCATATTCTTCATGCAACAGATTTGTGAAAGCCAACCGTGACTGATTAAAGCCCCACCATTACCCCTCCCGGTTTTGTCTCCCACAGAAAGCAGTTGATCCGAGGAAAGCTTTCCTCAGGAGACTAGATCCCAGCCAGGACAACAGCATCACTGGCCATGTCCTGGGCTAATAACTTCTCTCTGTGACCCTTAGTCCCTCATCTGTAAAATAAGAGGAGGAAGCCACAGGAATGGCTATAAAGCCCTTAACGCTGTCACTTGATTCTAAAGCCTGCTGCTGATGGCAGTGCAATAAATTATTAATAAGCAGATTTAAAGGCCCACAGCCTTTGATGTCAACCTGTCTATTGTAATTCCATGCCTGTGGGAAACAGAAGAAATATAGTTGTTTGCTCATAGTTCTAGAGGCTGTGAAGTCCAGGACCATGGTACCAGCATCTGGTAAGGGGCCCTTATGCTGTGTCATAAGATGGAAGGCATCATATGGTATGACAGCACGTCAAGAGCACTCGTTTTTTATAGCAGAGCCATATCTGTTACCCATTAACTAGTGAGCTAGAGACTGGATTGGCCTGTTCAGGAGGGCAGAGCCCTGCTGACCTGCTTCCATCACTGGGTTACAGCCTTCCACTCTACTGCATTGAGAACCAAATGTTAACCCATCAATTTCGGAAGACACACTGAAACCACAGGGGAAAGGAAGAGAATGTTAGCGAGAGTTGTATTTCTGTAGAACATTAAAGCTGTAAGTTTGAAAAACTACAAATAGTCCAATCTGAGTCCTGAATTCATTAGTCATCAACAGTAGTTGCTATTCCAGACCTGGGTAATAAGAAAAATCGAAGTCATGTGCTCACCAAGTGGGAAATGCATGCAGACTCTGCTAAGTGTTACATAGAAAAATTGAGCTGATGAGTGGGTAGGAGAGCGATTGGCTGCATGGTCAGAGGTGGTAGCAGGTACAGCAGCCTTAGTGGAGGTGTGAAGTACATGAATACACATATGAGGCCAGAACATTCCAGGTAAGAGACAACTGTCAAAGATAAGAGGGGTGCCTGCGAGTTCACTGCCAGCAGTTGTTGAGTGGACTTAAGGGGTGGAGTGCTGTGCTCATTGGGAACTGTTATGACTCACCTGTCTTCCAGGCAGAATTTGTTTTCCAGGCCAGTGTGCTCACAGTGTTTCCCACTGTCCTATCACATTGTAAGTTTCCAGCCTCTCTCAACCTGTGAGCATTTCGGCCTCCACAGAGCACTCTAGTGACTATGAACCCAAAATGGAGCGTCAGTCCAGTCCTTGCCATGGATATTTGTGGGCAGTCTACTTAACTCTAGCCTCCCTTTTTTCACCTAGAAAATAACTGCAAATTTGCTCAAGGTTATGTGTAGGTTAGCATGAGTAGAACCACCATCCATTTTCAGCTGCTAATAACTAACATTATTAGCTAATGACTAGGGCCATTGTGAAAACAAGAGGCTGCTGGTCACAGCTGTGCAGGTTCCACGACTCAGACCTGGTGATGGTCTGGCTGACAGAGTCCCTAGGGAGCATGGAACAGTACATCACCAGAGATGAGGCATACTTCTCTGGTCTCTCTTACAAAGCTGGCTGGATTCAGTCACCAGGCTCTACTCTTAACTCTCATTACCTACCAACTGAACCACGTTTCCATCATAAAACCTTTCAATGGGTATAAAGTTTCAACCCACGAAGCCTTGTGGAGGAGGAACAACCTCCCCCTCATGGTACAGGGGAACTCTCACCCACCATAGGTTCTTTTTCACAGACTGTAGGTTGAAGAGAACAGTCACTGACAGGAAGTGTACAAAGCTCACCAGAAGCTTCTGGGTAAAAAGCAGCAAGCCTTACTGGTCTCAGGGTATAGGCAAAGAGCCACTGAGATGGGTGGGAAGGGAAAGGAAGTACCCTCAATGTTATCTGGGGAGGGGAGAAGCTATCCCAGAGCATTAAAGAGCTGTCCTTGTTATGTGTCAGTAGAGATACCTCTGTCCTGGATCTGCCTCAGCTTGAGAGAGTAGTGAGGTAGTAGACAATCTCCACGAGGTACTGATGGCAACACTAGTCACCTACCACCAAGGGAGGGCCAGAAACAGAAGACCCTCTGTGTAGCAGAGTTCCATGGGAAAGGCATAAAGCTGAGGTGGAAAAGGAACATTGTAAACCCATTTGTCACCCAGATGCCCAGCAGCATTAGGGGAATGTGAAGCCAGTGGGGCACTGAAATTAAGCATGGCTACAGACCCCAAACCCAGCTCAATTCATAACTAGATTGACTCCACCCCTCATACTGATGGGCTGGGAAAGAGGAAGGTATAAATACTTCTCCAGTCTTTGCTGTACTGCCCACGTCTGGCATTCAGTCAAAAATGACAAAACAAAAAGCAAGTATAAAACTGCACTATCAGGAGACAATCAACAGAAGCAGACTTTGGTGGATGTGTGTGAGCAGATGGTTCCAGCAGAGAAATGGCGATAGTAAGAATCAGGAAGAAGTGCTAGAAGCAGCAGCTGTGGTAAGGGACAAAGCATGTTACCCTTGATGCACTGAAGAGCAGACTCCACAGGTGAAGAAAGAAACAGTGAACCTGAGATGATGGAAAGTATCCAAACTGAGTCACAAAGACAAAATAGGGCACCAGAGCTTGAAGATAAAAGGTATTTTTTAAGTATTTTATTTTATGTGTATGAGTGTATTGCCTGCATGTGTGTTAAGTGTACCCATGTCATGCAATGCCCCTGGAGGTCAGAGAGGGCATCAGGTCCCCTGGGACTGGAGTTACAGACGGTTGTTAGCTGCCATGTGGATGCTGGGAATCAAGCCCAGGTCCTCTGCAAGAGCAGCCAGTGCTCTTAACTGCTGAGCCATCTCTCTAGCCATCCCCCCCCCCTTTTTTTAAATGAAAAACATAGAGCTACAAAACTCTCAACCGAAAACAAGATAAGTAAATCAAGAAAAACAACTTTTTTTCTTTAGTCAGGGTCTCATTGTGTGGCTTTGGTTGGCCTGAAGCTCACTGTGTTGCCCAGGCTGGCCTTGAACTCTCAAAGATCCATCTACTCCTTCCTCCCAAGTGCTAGGATTAAAAGTGCGTGCCACCATGCCCAGCAAAAAGCAAAGAACACTTATATTCGAACTTCTGAAAAAGACAAAGAAAAATGTAAAGACACACATTACAGAGGAGCAAAACCAGGAACCTACAGCCATGGCAGCCCAGATGAGTGAGTGCTGAGCAGCCACAGTGGAGACACGTGGTCCACGTTCCTAGGTAGCTGCCACCTGGTCCTTTACAGAACAGTTAAGCCTGGGGTGGGAAGACAGGTAGCAGCAGAGAGGCTGAGTGAGGCTGACAACAGTCCACGTGAGAAATGTAGAGAGCTCAAGAAGCCATGAGTGAAGAACAGAATACATCATCACAGGACAATGGACGGAATGTGAGATCATCATGCTAAGATCCAGGAAGACAAGTGTGTTTTCTCACATATAGAGATCTAGACAGCTTCTGAAAGACATGAAGCTAGAAGGGGAACTATTTAGGAAGAGGGGACTGTGGAAGGGGGATGGGGGACTATTATCAAGCATATTGTATACATGTTTGAAGATATGTAATGAAACCCATTTTATTCAATTAATACATAGTAAAAATTGTAAAGAGGTCATGCAAGTGGAATCGGGCTATATTTAGGACCAACACAACATAAAATTAGCAAAAGAGCCTTTTCTTTTTAAAAACAAAATTTATATGCAAAACACCAGTTGAAATGCTTACCAAAACCCCCCAAGATCTTTGAAGCTGAGGCTGGGCTCTCAGTGCCATGTTATTGGCTCCTCTGCTCCTGCTTTCAGAAGCATCTTGAATCCAGAGCCCCTCAGATTCAGATGGGCAGAACTGTAAAACTACAGATCTAAAGACAAGAAGTGGGTGTATCTCCTGAGACTGTCTGAACATGCGACCATAACATTCCTCACCTCACATCCAGCACCCAAGGACAAGGGTCTTCTTGCCATCCCTGGTGCAAGAAATGAAGTTGATCATAGTAGGTGTGGTAGGGATGTGAGTTGGAACAACACTGGACAAAACATATCTTGAAATAGAACTGGTCAGACTCCAACTTGTTGACAGATGAAGCAGTGGCAGCCTCTCAAGGCCTTTGTTGTGGGTTGAATTTGTCCCCCAAACCTTGTATATTGAAGTCCTAACCCTGAGCTTCAGATGTGACCTTATTTGGAGATAAGGTCTTTACAAAGAAGTCAAAATGAACTCATTTGGTGGTGCCTAATCTGGATTATAAAGGGGAATTTGGACCCAGAGACTGAGTGAAGAGGGAGAATGGCCACCACTAAGTTAAGGGGAAGCCATGCACAGGTCTGGCATGTGCAGCCTTAGGAGGAGCCAATTCTGCAGGCACCTTGATCACAGACTTCCAAACTCCCCAGCTGTGGACTGCCACTATTATTGGAGCTGCCATCGGTGGTACTGTGGATGGTGACCTGTGTGCAGCCTACCAGCCAGGGATGGTGAGAACAGGAGCTCAGATGGAGCACCAAGACTCCTATCTGAACCTGCCCAAGTAAGCTGTGGCCTTTGGGGGTGGATAGGCCTGCCAAGTACCTGGGTAGTAAGGATGAGCAGTTTTACTGTGCACAGTCACACATTTTCCTTGCTTGGAAAATGTTTCTAAGGATAGTTTTATGCACCTGGAGGCTTAAATGCAACTAAAGAGGAAGGCTTAAATGCTCATTAAAATGGGTACAAGTCCAGGGAGTACCCAGCATTCGTTCAGATGTTTGGCCTTCACCTGGAGTGGCCCTCACTTTCCTTGCCTGGCCATGCCATGTTGTGTACACACACGTGCATACACAGAATTTGCACATATACATGTGTGCACATAAACGACTCATACACACAATTCACATACACTTGCACACATGACACAACATTGCACATGTACATAGAACTCAGGGTACTTGTAAGGACCGTGTAGACAATGCCTCAGGTGCCGCCCTCGGGCTCCTTAGATGTGGCTTCTCTTCATCTTCCTCCACCAACGAGAAGGGCACAGGTTGACTGCTCTGTGGAAAGGTGTATGTGCAAAGCCTGGGTCACGGTGTTGCCAGCAACCAATAGGCTGTCAGAGCGAAGCGTGGGCTCCGTGGACGTGGGCGGTCGCCTTCTTGCTCCGCGGGTGCTGCCCCGGTTCTCCCGCGTCTTCTCTTCCGTCTCCCCCATCCCTCCCGGCCTCTCGTGCTCCGCGGTCTCCTTGATCTCGCTCTCCAGCGGCTGTCACGCGTCGGGGCCCACGTCCTGAGTGGGTGCGCGCAGGACGCCCAGGCTGCTGTCAGGGGCGTGTGCGCAGGACTGCAGGGCGGCGGTGCCTGCGTGGCCAAGGGTCACCCCTGCGCGCGAGCTTTCCTGCGTGGGCGGCCTGCGCTCTGGGAAGCAGAAGCTGCAGGTCTCTACAGGCTGCGGCGGCGAAGCTTCGCTGTGGACCTCTGTCGCAGGGCCTGTGAGGACAACGGAGGGCGTCGTGGGGACCCAGAGCCCCCGTCTGTGCAGCAACGCACTGAGTGGTCAGGACTCGCCCTCCCGAGCGCCGCTGCGCAGGCTTTCAAAGCTGGGCTTGTTTCTGCCTCCACCCTGAAACCATCTGGCCCCGGCCCTGGTGATGCCCCTCCTGCTCTCCTCCTGAAAGTCCTGTGTCCTGGGAAGCTGAAGCCGCCACCTCACACCCACCCATTTTCCTAGCCCTGCTGCTGCTGTAACCTGATTTTACCAAGGTGCTTTAGGATGCATCCCAGGCCATCCGGGTGGACTCGGCCTAGCAGTGGTGGGTGGGGTGGCTGGGGCAACGCCCAGGTCTCCCGTGCTCACCGTGGGGGGACTTGGCCTGTGGCCTACGGGGCACTGCTGCACGCTGACTGGGGAGTGGCTCTCCCCTTCGCCGGAGGAAGCAGGCCACGGCCACCAAGAAGAGGCAGAAGATGAAGCAGAGGCAGAGCCCCAGTGTGCTGTAGACGAGGGCCAGCTGGTCACCACTCAGCCTCAGACCTAGGGGTGGTGCAAGACAGACCAGAGCGCGTTCAGGGGACGCCTACTTACAGCCTCCTCTCTCAAAGCTGTTACACTTAGGCAGCCACTACTCGTACTATCCCCATCCACAGAGTCCCCTCCCTGCCAAGGGCCTTCTTTTTTCATTAGTCCCAAGCAATTCACATGGATCCCCAGGAGCCGCTGTCTTGCCCTAGCCTGCTGTAGGCCTGCCTGGTTGGTGAAGACATGGGATTTCTTTCCTGACCTAAAGATTTGGCTGCTGGGCTTTCCAAGGGGAAATCGGCCCCTTCCACCCCAAGAGAGGTGCACCCTTCTTTCAATACCTCAAAAGTGAACAATGCTGGAGCTGGCCCATTCTGTTTACTCTACCTGTTGCTGACTGGGACAGCCCCAGAGATTTTGGGGTGGCGGGCAGGAAAAGGGAGGGACGGAGGGACACAAGGACCATAGTCTGGGAGAATGACTCCTCCAAAGGAGCAGGCTTCCTGGGTGAGCAAAGACTTTGAAAGCAGGACCAGGGAGGTGACTAAGGAGCCTGGGTCCTAGTGTGGAGCACTCTGGGAAGTAGAAAAGGTCACTTAACTGCTCAAGACTTGAGTCTAAGGCTTTGGGTACAAGAGGAGACCTTGCCCCAGACCAAAGCTCTGCTCTTTACATTTCTCCATATCCCAAACTATCTCTGATCCCAGGGATTGAGGCTCCCCTGGGCTCTGCAATGGAAAGACTGATAAATCTAAGAGCCAGTGTAGAGTAAGGACAAACTTGCCTAAGCCCTCTGTCTGGCATGCTGGCTCTGTGAAGTCCCCAAGGGTCCACCAGACCCATTCCCAACTGCAAGATAGTATTCCAGATGACACCTTGGGGTGGGATGGAGAACACCTGGAAACCTTTTATTAAAAAATTCTTCAAAAAATCATGTCTGTGTTATCTGTTCAAAGCAGAAAAACAACTGATGCTTGCCCCAGGGGAGTCCATACTTCTTTTCAGAGTTGGGGATGAGTCTAGGGCCTTGTGCATGCCAAGCAAGTGCTCTGCCTCAGAGCCACACCCCAACCCACACTTGTAAAGAGCCATGGGAAGGGTGACTGGAAGGATGTGGAAGTTACAGAGCAGGCTCCAGCCACGTAGAAGCCAACAGAAAAGCCTCTCCTCTGCACTCCATCACTGAGCCTGGCATCAGGGAGCAGTCCGCTCTAGCTCTGTGGGAGACCAGCTTGTAACTTTACAAGGGTCACTAGGTCCCACAGCCTTGGTAACTGCTTTCTTTTTGCCTTGGGAGTCCTAACATGGTCCCCTCACCATGGAGAGCCCTTGCAGGTGATCTTAGGAGCAAAGAGGGCTCAAGTTGTTGGAAAAGAGTTTGTGCAGTCTCTGCTCTCCTTAGTCCCAGAAGACAGCCCCTGGGTGCTGTTCTAGGTAGTGCCACTAGGGGCACTAGGCCACTTCTGACAGCTCTGAGTCAGCCCGGCAATTCACAGCTTATTTCTGGGCCAATTTTTGTTTTGGTCTTTTCTTTTTGATTTTGTTTTTTAAAACTTGTCAAAGACATTTATCAGCTATAATTAGAATTCCCCTAGCCTGCTGCTGTGTCAGCCCCCTCCCCAGCTCCTGTGGCCCCCAGAGCTTGGGCCATCTCAGCACTGGATCATATGAAACTGGCCCTACAAAGGGAACTGGCAGGTAGGTGCACAGGAGACCACTAAGTCTAGGTGGAAGGGACTGGAGTGAGGTGGGTAGAGGGTGTCAGGTAGAGCCATGCTTGACATTGGTACCTGGCTCTGGCTCCCCTCCCTCACAGAAAACTCCAGCAGCTTTACATCCACTCCATATATTGACCTGTGTTCGGCCTAGCTCATCCCTGCTTCCTTCTAGTTCTACCTGTGTTAGGTGATGCTTGGCCAAGTGTCTGTGATGAAGGAGCTCTTAAATAAGCTAACAGACTCTCTGTTCAGTCACTGGGCCTCCTGCACAGGACTGTGTGTGTGTGTGTGTGTGTGTGTGTGTGTGTGTGTGTGTGTGGTTTATGGACATGTACCTGTGCACACATGTACCGAAGCCACAAGAGGGTTTTGTGTCCTGTGCAATCACTATCCACCCTTAAGACAGAATCTCACTGAACCTGGAGTCAGGCTGGCAGCCAGCAATTTCCAGCTATCCTTCTGTCCCTGCCATCCACCCCAGCACTGGGCTTACAGGTGTATGCATAGCCATGCCCAGCTTTTTACATGGGTTCTGGGACTTGAACTTGGGTCCTAATGCTTCCACATGTTTTGTTCTCTATAAAACCAACTTCTTCTAGGCAGGGGTATAGCTCAGTGGTAGGGTACTTGCCTAGCATGCATGGGTTCATCACCAGCACTGTTGTGGAATAAAGTGTGGCCCAATTCTGCCTTCCCCACTGGCTCATATACCTCCTTGCCAACATGGGTAGAACCATAGCTCCACCACTTCTGAGTCTTTCTAGTTGGGGCCAGAACCCCAGGTCTTGGCATCATAGGTATTTGGTGATCAGACAGAACCCTCAGGGGCCATTTTGTTGTGCCCCCCCTCATGCATATCTGGTAGCATTAGGTACACCAGAGCCATAAGACACTAGAGGGTGGTAAATACCAGTTAGTTGGGAAGGGCAGAAGGAGGGCCTGGCCGAATGGCCTCGGGGATGGTCAGAGGGGCACCTGGCCTGAAACTTGCCCCCACCAGAGCTGCCTGGGGACACCTGGAAGTGACCTTTCATGCTGTTCCTTGGTCTCCTTGTGGCCAGAGCAGGTGAACATTTAGAAATATCTTGACTGCCTCTTTTGTGTGGTGTTAACTACTCTGGTCTAGAACTTTCTATGTCATCTTCTGTGTAGACATGCAGCCTCCTGGGCCTCTTCTGACTGCTCCTTCTGGTGTCTACTCACCTTCCCCTAATGCGTATCCCCACAGGCATTCCTCCCACAACTCTGAGCGGCCTCTCCCACTCCTATGACTTCATCTGCCTATTCCAGTAGGACAAAATCTAGGCACTCAGGATGAGATGCTTCAGAGCGCCAGACCCACAGGGATTCTGATGATTCCCAAGACCCTTAGTGGTACCACATGCCCAGCACCAGGACTGTGAAAAGAAAGACATGTATTGTCCTGAGACATTCAGCTTATAGAATGCCATCACAGTGACCACAGGAAGACACCACGGTTCACCATCATAAGCTGTCTTTCCACAGCAGCCCGTATGCTCAGCAGACCTGGGAGGCAGGGCTAGAATCCAGGTTGGCTGTTGGCTTGCTACTTGGCAGGCTTAGCTCCAAACCTCAGCACCCATGGTGAGAGGCTCTGTGACTTAGATCAGCAAGGAAAATAAGTGTTCATTTTCCATAAGGTGAATGTAACCCCACTTCCAGCATAGGTGGTCACCCACCACTGCATGGGCAGCAGCTGTGAGTTTGCCACCAACAGAATCACAGGTAGTGTTTCTGAGAGTGAGTCCAGAGAACTGGGTTCTCCAGCCCCAGGACTGCAAAAAACAAAGAAACCATTTAAAAAGCTAGAAGAAAATATTTTGACTATTTTTACCTTAAAGAAATAACAAATGTTTGAAGCAGTAGATGTGCCAATCCAATTTGAACAGTGCATCAAAATGTCACATGACCCCTATGTCATGGGTATCAATTAAAAGGAGTAAATGAACAACGTGCTTGGTCTCAGCTCGTCCTTGACAAGGATCCCTCTCAGTTAGGTCCTTTCTTCAGCTTCCTTTTTTTTGAGGCAGGGTCTCCCTGTAGCCCCAGCTGTCCTGGAAGTCACTGTGTAGAAGTCAAGCTGGCCTTGAACTCACAGAGATCCACCATCTGCCTCTGCCTCCCACATGCTGGGATTAAAGGCATGTACCACCACACCCAGCCTAAATTGTTTATTTTTAAATCCCAGGGTGACCTTCCTGGCTTCTGGCTATTTGCCTGGACTCCGGGACTCCTAACCTGTAGACTTTTCTTCTCCCAACCTGGTACCTAGCCTCCTACTCATCCTGACCCTATGGGAATTAACCTCAGATGACTTACCTGGACCTGCGTCCAAGCCTCTGTGCTCTGACCCCTGGTTCCTTCCTGGGTTTTCCGACCTGGCTTCCACCTCCCTGGACTGTGGTCTCCCGAAGTCAGGCAAGAGGTTCACCCGACTTCTGGGCTTGTTCTTACAAAAGTGTGCACACTGCCAAGGGTGCTGTCCACAGGTGGAGGCACAGTTGACACAGGTTCCAAGGAGATGGTCGTAGTACGTGCCTTGCTCTTTGCGGCAACTGAGGAACTCTATGAGACAGAAAGAATGGTGCTATGGGGTGACACAGACCTGCAGGAGCATGGAGTCTGCTCTCAGACTATCAAAATAAACAAAACAACCTACCTAACCAAACCAAAACAGCAACAAAACATCCACAGTTCAACTCGCAAAGAACAGTTCCAGAGTGAGCATACCCTCTGGGTGCTCCCTCTCTCTCTGTTCTGTGCGTATTCTCAAATATAGCATTTTTCTGAATTAGTTCAACATGTTTTTACTTTTCATTTCTTCTTTTACTAGTAGATTCTTCACCCTTTTCAGTTTTCAAACATGAGTTTCCACATGTCTTTTAAAATTGGTATCTATTTAATCCCAGCACGTGGGAGGCAGAGGCAGGTGGATCTTTATGAGTTCAAGGCCAGCCTGGTCTACATAGTGAGTTCCAGGACAGCTGGGGCTACAAGAAGACCCTGTCTCAAAAAGACCAAAAAAAAAAAAATCGGTATCTAGACTATTGTGTTGTCATATAAGATCTTTATTTTTTCAAACCTCCTGAAGGAGAAACATACTCAAGTTAGCATAAGGAGTGGATGGGAAAAGCCAGACCCTTCCGTGGTGAGTTGAGGGGGAGCTAGAAGGGTGCTGGCAAAGTCCACAGTGATGACCATAGGAAACACAGCAACTGCTACAGGGTCCAGCGAGTGGAACAGAAGACGCACACACACATACACACACGCACACACACACACACTCCATGGGGTCCCGTAGGCTTGCCTGGAGAGGACAGCAGACCAACCTCTGAGGGAGTCAAGGAAATCAGTTTGAGACTGGAGTGCTACCTAGCATGCTAGAGAGACCTGCATTCATCTCCAGCATAGGAAGGAAGGGAAGACAGGAAAGGAGGAGGGAGGAGAAACAAGGGAAGGAAAGGGGAGGGGAGAAGAGGAGGGAAGGAGAGGAATGGGAAGAAAGAAAAGGAAGAAGGGATGAGAACAAAAGGAAGGGAAGGAGAGGGAGGGAGAGGGATAGAAAGAAGAAGGGAGGGAGGGAG